GGGTGACGTAAGGGCCTCAGATGGGCCGGGATCTGCATCCCTGTCAGGACGTCAGATGCATTCAAAAAGGGGAACTCTGCCGTCCCAAAAAGCTCTATGCGAGCAACCTGTGGCTGCTGCACAGGGGCGGGGACAGGTGCGGCAGGCGGATCAGCAGGCGCGTCAGAGGTAAGCCAGGGAGGCAAGTCAGTAGGGCCCGGACCTGCAGCTCCAGTGCCTCCATCGTCTTGGCCAGCCACGGCGGCATCGCCCAAGTCAGGGGGTGGCTGAGAAACAGTGGGCCAGGCAGCCGCAGGTTGACCTGGCACAGAAGCATCGTCACCGACACCGTCCATGGCATTCAGATCCAAGCCAAGGGGATCAGAAGGAGGACCTTGGCCGGCAGAAACCTCAGCAGCACCAGGCAGGTTGCGGCCAGACGTGTCATCAGCAACGCCTGAAGCAGACAAGTCCTGGCCAGAGTCTGCACTGCCAAGGCCACCCGCCACATCCGCAGGCGCCGTCACATCGAAGAGAACATCAGCCCCATCAGGGCCAACGGTTTGCTCATCGTCCGTGTTGGTCAAGTCAATGACCTCAGCGCCAGGAAGGACAGGTACAGCAGGAGGGTCGGTGGACGAACCAGGTGTGTCAGCAGAGGCCACAGGCATGTCAGCACCACCGCCAAGGCCCAGCAGGTCGCCAGTGGGAACGGTGGGCATGTGGACACCTGCATCGGGGTTTTGCCAAGAGGACTCCACAGACGCCTCAGAAGAAGTGCCAGACCAAGCATCCTCTTCAAGGATGTCCTTAGCTGTAGCATACAGCCGCCGCAGCTCCTCCCTCGGCATCGCCTCAAAGACAGAAGTGAGATCGTCCATGTCAGCCTGAGCAAGACTGCGAGCACGACGCACCATACGGCTCAGAGGGACCAGCGACATGACCAGCAACGTCCCAACAGCACAGGCCAACAGAGGGAACAGAACACAACAGAAAAACAGAACTTAAGCCAAAATGGCCGCACAGGCAATAAAGTCGCATGTTGCACATAGCAAACTAATATCATTACTATTAATCATCAAATAATTGATAACAATAGTTCCCGACAGACCCCAAGGCAAGCGAGTCCCCACTGAAAAACTCGGGCAGTCCGTCGGTGCGAAGAGCGTTCGGTCGCAGCGCGCTCCGCCGGATCCAGCGTTCAGCACTTGTGCCCCTTTCGCCACGGCATCCTGGCCGCCCAAAGGCTATCAAAGTTCAAGCTTGGAGGGTTTGACATGTTTAGCTTCATGAGACTTACTGGTACCGGGTGTACGACTGATTGGCAAGCTGCCGCGTGTCTCGCAGCCTGCCAGTAACATGGACGGGCATGGCCCACGAAAGCACGGGACCCAGGCCTTAAAGTCTTAGTTTAGCATCCGCAGGATTGCAAAGCGGTCTAGGGACCCACAGATACCCTAAACCCTAAACCCTAAACCTCATGAGGCTGCGAAGCTCCGACTTGTGGGGGGAAAGATGTCAGAAGCGTGACAGAACTCGACTTGAGACCTCCTGGCACCGGTACTCAACTCATTATTATTAATTTGTTTTTATCTATTATTATGAAGTAAATATTAATAAAAAAATTATTATTATTGTTATTATGAATTATTATTGTTAATGATTATTATGAATAAGATGGAGGACTGGTTAGGATTTGTTTCATTGCTGGGGAGACTAGGGTGGTGCACTATCTTACCACCGAGAGAGGCAACCGTAAACCCCCAAACCCTTTGCCCTGAACCATCCTCCGTCAACTGCTTCAGGAAGTCCGTGCCCGTGCACGCCTGGCATCATGGAGCTCAAATCTGCTGAGTGTTGCCGTTCTTGCCGGTGTTATTAGAAGCTGCATTTGTTCATCCCTGCTTGCCACATTTCTACTTTGGGGTCGGTTCGATCTTGCGGTGCTTGTCATGCTCATCCGATAGAATACAAGCTAACGCGTGGGCACAGCCCCTAAGGCGTGGTTGGCCATGCTTACATCCATTATGCCCATAGTGGGCTCCTGATGAAACCGCTGGCAACTGAGAAGCTGGAGCTCTTCAGAGCAAGTTTTCGGAAGTCGAATCAGGCGTCCGACGAAAGCAAGATGCAACTGCCCAATCTTTGCTACGATGACATTGCATTGTCCCCTTTGTTTGGTATCTTTCCTTTCGGTAGGCCAGCTTGTCCGATTTTCCTGGTATTGCTGCGCCCCTTGGTCCAGTTTGCTTGAGTAGGCAGTCTTCTCGCTCCCTTTGCACAGTTTACGGTGCAACATAGGGAGTAGACCACAGTGCCAGCATGCGGTCTTGCTCAGGATTACGACCTATGGCGTGAGAACAGTCACAATGATGATGATGATGATGATGATGGTGATGAGGAGGAGGAGGATGATGGTGATGATGATGATGATGATGATGATGATGAGGATGATGATGATGAGGATGATGATGATGATGAGCAGGAGGAAGATGATGCTGATGCAGATGATGGTGTTGCTGATGCAGACGATGGTGATGATGATGGTTACGATCATGTTCTTGATAATGGTGACGAAGATAGTCGGGAGGAGGACGCAAGAGCCTGGTATCATCGTGAGTGGTCTCATCTAGCCTCTCTGCAGCAGATATTCCAGCTGCTTCCATGAGCACCGCTGAGTCACTAGAGCATCGTTTTGCAAACAGTCGTCTATCTCTGTAGTACCAAAAGCCCAGTGGCCATCGGAGTGACATTGTTCTTTCCGAAAGGAAGGCCCACTGACAGACCTCGGCGCAGCAACAGCAGTCCCGAAAGCCCAGTCCTGTCTGTTCCTCCCAAAAATCTTAGTGCGAACATTGGACGGAGACCCAATTGAATCCTGGCTCCGCATCCAATGCGCGCATTTTGGGATCAGCCAGAAGTAAAGGCTCCAATTCCCGTAAAATTCTACAGTAGTAGAACATGTCACTGGAAGGCTGCTGGAAACTCTAGACACCCCAGCCTCCAATGGCTGCGCAGAACTTCTGGTTGAACTTCTCGGCGATACTCCGATGGGCCATGATGAGCCTCGAAAGCGGAGTTTCTCAACTCGAGCTCTTCTGGGCCAAGCAACCTGAATCTGGTTGCATGTGACAGCTACAAACTCAAGACGTGTTTCAAGCTTCACGGTTAGTAGAAGTCGCAACTTCGAAGGCCCTTCTTGTCACTCTGCATCGCCATGGCACACGCTCGGCTTTTCCAGCGATGCTGGGGTCTTTGTGTCCTTTTGTCATCGGCAACAGCTGCATGTTGCCGGGTTTACGAAGGCAAAGGCGCAGGAGGGCTCCCGGATGTGCGATTTGTCGATGCCAACTTCATTGCGCCAAGTTGGATAATGTGCCGAAGAACTCTGGCGTCCCGAATGCTCCGTCCGGGAAGGCATTGAGAAAGCCGGCCACTCGCACTGGATCCTCATACTCCGCAAATCCATTGACCATGGCATGGTGTGTGGTGAACTCGTCAGAAGTGCGACCTCCGAGCGACTCGTTTGATATGGACTCATCCGGCAGTGCAAGAACCCGAGCCTTGAGTTCTTGCCACTCCCTCTTCGGCATCGCAATTGCTGCTGCGATGCTGGCACCATAACCTTCAGTAACAAGCTCCAGTAACACTGCATCCTCTGGATCTATTTCAGGAAAGCGGAGTGCCTCCACCCTCGCAATCGCTGCGTCACGGACCGGCTGCCAGGCTGCGGCATTCTCGGGGGCTGGAGAAAACTTCCGCAGATGGTAGAGGAGCTGGGCTCTCTGCTGCCACCCGACTATCCAACTCACGTCTGCCAACATCCCCTGAAGATTTTGCAGCCGCTGATCTGCCAAAGGGCCTGGTTCCTGAACGAGCTTCTGCAGGCAGCTGATCTGGTACGCTAGGCTTTGCATCTGCTTGCACAGCAGCCCTAGCCTTTGCCGTGGCGCTACTGCTGGATGCATCGCTGCTGGGGCAGGCGCTTGTGGCGCCCGCCTCCCTGGCGCACGGACTCTGGCCTTTGCCTTTGCACCCGCCTTCGCCCCTCCCTTGGCGACGGCCTTAGCTTTGCCCTTGGCCTTGGGAGGCATCCATGCGCATGCCCGGAAAGTCCGACTGCTGCTACAGTTCACATGTGAGATGCTAGACTAAATCGGACGTGAGAGTTCTCGCAATTCGATCGACTTGTGGTTGCGGCTGCGAGCCAGTCCCTCCGTGCAGTGATTTCAGGGTTTCCGTGTTCAGACTGTTGCTCACCTGTTTCTCGCGATGTTGCACTGCAGTGTAAATTTCGCGGCGCACGTAGCAAGCGCTCCGGAAGTACCAACACGCAGAGCCCGACAAGCGGCAGGAAATGTACGGAGACGCTTGCAGGCTGGGAGCTTGATGGCTGTGCATCGCTGGCCGTTGAAAGATGTGCTGCCGGCGAGGCATTCCTGGCCGCAGAAGGTACGAGCAGCTGGCCCTCGATTCTGTATGTTGCAAACTTGTAGGTGTCCCTGGGCCCTTCACGAGATCCTTCACGAGATCAACTCAGTGACTCGTCTGCACTACACGCTACAGTCGTCCTTGACCGCAAGATCGAGGTCCGCGTCTGGCATCACCTCAGCAGTCAACCAAGAAGTATCTAGGCAGGCCCCGCCACTGTCTTCGGACTTCGGGAGCAGTATACACACAGCACGGGTTCGGTCGACTACGTGGCAAGGGTGAGTCAAGAAGCGGCATCTATGGATGCTCCAACCCCAAATTAATTGTCGGCGTCTGACATCCCTGGACCAATCTCCGCGCTTCTCACTTGCGTGTTCTTTATGCGAAGGATGTGGTAGCTGGCTCTTGTAACGCCTGTACATTTACATCGACGACTGTATAGCTGGAGCTGCCCATTCAATTCAACCCGGTTCAGTGATGCACGGAGATGGCTGGTTTGGGTTCGGGCTAAATTATTTCGCACTGCCTGCGGAGCACGACAACGACCAAACTGACTCCTCGTTTTGCTGCGGCCCAGCAGAAGAGCGAAGGTACTTAGGGCGGCCTCCATTGCCATCACTCGGAGCAGTCCGGACCCGTCCTGGCAGCGAAGGAGCCTTGAGCTGGTCTTGAACAGAGCTGCTATCACCACCAGAGGCAGGATCACCCCAGGTCACAAAAGATCCATCACCGAGGACTGCAACAAAAGCATGAGGCCCACCGTGCAGTTGCTTAACATGCTTCAACTTGTCTTTCACCCTACTGCAGTCCCCTCCATCCGTTTTGTTGCCCCAAGTAACGACAGATCCATCTACCAGAAGGGCAGCAAATGCCCCGGAAGATGCACTGATCTGCTGCACATTCTGAAGCTGATCCCGTATGGCGCTGCTGTTGCCGCCGCTGGACGGAGTCCCCCAGGTGACAATGGACCCATTGTCAAGACAAGCAGCAAAAGCAAAGTCGTTCGAGTGCACCTCTCGCACCGCTTTTAGTTCTTCCTGGATGTCACTGCTGACACCACCAAAGAATGGAGAACCCCAAGTCACCACCGACCCACCGGAAAGCAAAGCAGCGAAAGCAAAATCCGTGGATGCGACCTGATTTACGTGACTCAGCTGGCCCTGGACTTCCTTGCTATCACCACCAAAGGCAGCATTGCCCCAGGTCACCACAGAGCCAGTGGTCAAAACAGCTGCAAAGGCATGGCGAGTCGCTTGTATTTGCCGCACACTTCGAAGACTGTGCTGGACTTCCCGGCTGTCCGCGCCCGAATCGGCCGCACCCCAGGTCACTACGCTCCCATCGGCTCGTAGAGCAGCGAAAGCACGAGCCGTGGCATGGACCGTCTGCACGTCGGCCAGGGCATCTGCTACTCCAGTCCTGTCACCTCCGTACGAGGGGTGGCCCCAAGTCACCACAGATCCGCTGCTGAGAAGTGCGGCGAAAGAAAAGTCATTGGCATGAAGAGACCGCACGTCTCGCAAGTTCTTCTGCGCGGTATTACTGCACCCACCCCGTGCCTTATCACCCCAAGTCACAACAGATCCGTCCATGAGCAGAGCGGCGAAAGCCCCGCCTTCGACCTTCTCTCTAAACGTCGTAGCCCGGACCTCCCTCACATCGTTCAACTCGTCCTGGTACGCTGCGGCTGTTTTGCCCCAACTCACCAGGGCTCCATCGCCGAGGACAGCAGCGAAAGTGTCAGAGGTGGCTGCCAGAGAAAGAGGTTCGGCAAGTAGCATCAACATGTCTCCGTTCTGCAACCCTGCCTCTGTCACTGTGATGTGCCTGTCAAGGACTGACCCAGACGAGCTCCGTAATCTGCCTCTTACACTCAGGAGGCTCTGGGCAGACTGCCGCACTTCATCTACCAGCCACTCATTCCCGGCCTCGACCTCGGCAGATCTCCCGCTCAGGAGAGAAACCGTCACGCGGATGGGCATGAGATATTATGAGGCCACTTCGAGCGGCATGCCCAAGACTCCCTAGATCCGCCAAACCCCCTGATCTGTCCTACGGGTTCTGCTTGAGCAGCTGCAGAGAGGATCCGGCATGTTGCAACAGGCCATGGTTGCAAAGGAACCCGGTACCCTGACTATGCAGCTGAAGCGCGATCGCCAAGTTCTTCGCATCCAGGGACAACAGGTTTTTCAAGCGATGTGGCTGTGGGTGCGCCTGGTCTGAGAACGAACATCCGTACATTGAAGACTGGCGATTAAAGCAGGGCCGGGGGGGCATGTGCTCCTGTGCTCCAGCCCGGGCAAGGGTATAAGTAAGCTTAAACATGACATATGACAGATCGTCACACGTCCGATGATGCGCAACTTTCAAGGCACCACAACACTGTTGAACATGACGTTGCCTGCATGGAAACATCCATGACACGTCCTGTAGATTTTACTCGCTTACAGGAAAGCTCAAAAACTAAATGACTTTGGAAAGAAGCATGCGTGCGTGAACGCACAGAGAAATAAAGACGATTTGCGTATATCCTACTCATATATTCTTGTGCGTCTACACGTGTATGCGGGCCCTCGCTACCAACCTTGACCTGACAAAAAGTGCTGCGCTACTTCGGTACTTTCGAAACACGGCTATTCCAGAGCAATCTAACAAGTTTGTTACAGCACCCTGCTGTTTCGAGCAGTCTCCGCATAACTCTAACAGCGGCCGTTGGAACCGCATGTCTCCAAAATAACCGAGAACGAAGACATCATCGCAGGACGTGGCGAAAGGTGGCCAGCGATGCGCATAGTTTACCTGGAGTCTCGGTTGAAAAGCATAGACACAGCTGCATGCCTTCTTGATCTTTCTTGCCTACTACATACCGCAGCGCATCTTCTGCATACAGAACAAGCCGGTAAAATGACGGAGCTCCAGCCGCGGCCTGCCTTGACAAGTGCATCCGCCGCCTTTGACGAGCCGATGAAGGCGAAGATATCCACCAGCCCGGACTCCATGCAGGGCCTCTGCAGAAGCGAGCTTGCGATGGCTTGCGAGCTGCAGAGGCTTTCTGCTCACAGGTCTCACCGAAGTCTGGACAAAAGGCCAAAGTCATAATATACTCAAATTTTCTACCGTAGTACACTCTATACTATACCTTAATATACAAAAATAGATAGTATATTACGGTATATTAGAGCATACTATTGTAAGATGAGCCCTGCCTTGCCTACAAGGTCTCAGGCAACTCAGGGTCCCCAGGGCCCCGGGCGGCATCGTGTCGCGGCCACGGCCGGAGACGAAGTTTACTACACCGGCAGGGAAGCACTCGGCATAGGCCTGGCATTTGAAGATCCCAACAGCCGAGCCTGGGCTTAACCACATACTTCTAGGAGTCGGAAAGCAGTTTAGGAGCCTGGTGCCTAGATTCGTCCTCCCGTTGTCGTTCCTCTTTCCTTCACTGGTCAGCCCTGCCCCCTTGCCGGAACAACAAGCAAAGCCCCAGCGACCTCCATCGTCAGGAAATGTGCGAGGCCACCAGTATTTGGCACCTTCATGACCACCGAGTCCCCAATGAGCAGTGCCTGGGCGGCTTCACCTACTGTCCGACCGACATTCAACACCGAACCGGTCAAGACCGTCAGGTGTTGTTGTGCAATTTCGATTGCGTGGTTCAAGAAAACCGATTGGCTTGCTGATGTGTGTTGGCCAGCGCTTCACCTGATTTTACATGCATTGAGGGGATTTTGACAGTGGCTTGCAAAGTCAGGTTTGTGAAGATGGAGGGGTCGCTAGACCCATGGAGGGTCGCTAGACCCATCTGGGGCCACGGCAGGGATCAGCGTGGCGTAGGTCTCGTTGAAGGGATAGTTGGACGGGCCCATGTTCATCATGACCTTCATCGTAGGTAGAGACTGAGGCACTGCTCACCAACAAAGCTTTAGACTATCATAGTACATCACAAGAAGAAGAACGGCCTTGCACATCATCATCCGTCGCATGTCGTCGCACCATCACAAGCATCATCAACAACACCACGTCATCGTTGTCGCCGCCGTCAGCATCAGGGTCAGCGTCATCGTCCTAGTCAATCTCATCATCATCACCACCATCATCATGATCATTTTCATTTTCATCATCATCATCATCATCATCATCATCCTCACAGCCGTCATCACCATGAAGACCAATGTGAACATCACAAGAAATCGTCGTCGTTCTTGTCCACATCATCGTCATCGTCGAACACATCGACAACAACATCACCACCATCATCAGCAGCAACAACACCCTCATTCTCACACTTGCAATCGCAACCGTCACTGCAGTGTGGCAATTGGGACAAGACGTCCTGAGCACCTTACACCCACTGGAGAGCGCTTGAGCAGGGCATGGACTCCTTCCTGAGGGCATCCATTGAATTTGCAGGAACACAATGATGTCAAAGTCTCATGTCTCTTCTGCAGTGCTGGCATTCAATCGGGAATCAACGCGAGGTGCACAGCTCGAGAAGCCAAACTGGACATGCTAGAAACAAACCTAATGTGTTGCAGAAATGCCGAGCTACACCGCACACGCTTCGGGCTGCCCACCTGGCAGACTGGGCCGGTCGAGTCCATCCTCCGAGCTGTCGCGATCAGGGCCTGGCCATGGACCAAAGATGCGGGGGGTTCCCTTTCTGGGTCTCTGCCGTGGATTCTGCTTGTTGCTGCATGGCCGTGCCCGGAAACTTCGGCAACTCCCACATGAGCTGCAAGAGTTTCAGCCCAAAGCTTCGGTCTCTGTTCATTCAGAGGATGAGAACAAGGTGTGGATGGGCCAATCTCGGCTTCAAACGAGATTGATGCGTGTGGACAAGACTCAAAGGACTGACTCGAAGTCTTGCGAAATTGGCGTGAACAAGGAGGCTGAGACATGCAGACATATGTCAGGTTGGCCATGTTGGCTAGGTTTTCAGAGCTTCAAGTAGTTGGCTATATGGATTTCTGCGCCAAGTTCTTTCGAAATCTACCCAGCTCCGTCTTTGAAGGAAGCCTGGATGAAGTCAATGGTGCGATCGAACTCCTTGCAGCCATCAAAGTTGGTGGTACAAAGGGGTGTACAGAAGACACTCCGAGCATGCGGCCGATAGTGCCACAAGCTTCGCAGATAGAGACAGGCACTCGAGGTCTTACGAGGCTTGTGAGGCCTAGCCAGGAGCATCAACGTGTATGTGTGAGTTGGGAAGCTGCACCAGCCTGCGTAGCTTGACGGCTTCTGGTCGGACGAATTTGCTGGCATGACTCACCAAGGCTAGGCAGCAATCCTACATGCTGCGAGAAATCCTTCCGCAAGGCCTGCATTGCCTGAAATCCACCTCTCAGCAGGACTAGTTCTGCGCAGTCCTTCGCCGCATCGGCATCCTGAGGAGTGCCAGCTGAAAGAAAGAACAGAAACTAGAATCTCGAAGGGTGCAGCATTTCTGTGCAAAAGATTGCGCAACCCCCGGCCAGCGGTCCATGGTCCGGCAGTACGACTTCTCCCTGTACTCGCGACTCGCAGATTCAAGAAATGGCTATACAAGGGATGCAAGCCTTGGCCAGGTCTGTGCCAAAACAAAGCCAGTCCGCAACATGGACAAGATTCGTGTCATGGGTCAGGTGCGCAGGTTCCCTGCCCTCGAATTGCAGCCAGGCATCGTTCTTACAGATTTCCCACTGCAAGACAGTGACAATCTTTTCCCTGATCTCCTGCAGGCCGATGTGACACAATCCTTGCCGGACTGTCGATTGCAGAAGTGCTCTGCTTGATGGTGTCCTTCAACCTTCCCATGAGCTTCTCCACCTGGCAGCTGAGAGCTGAGCTGCTATGGCACAGAGGAGCCAACAACACGAGAACTGCTGACAACGTTTGAACCCCAGCCCTCCGCACCGCCGCCACACGCTGCTCCAGGGTCTTCCGGGGCCACTCGCCGCGGCCCAGGTCCCAGGCCTGAGCTCAGGGTCAAAGCCGCTCCGCCCAGCTCCGCCCGGCTCCGATTCCTCGGGAGGTGCCCGCCTTCGCGGCCGCCTGCACCGCCAGGACCGACTCCTTGGGCGACATCGTGGCCTGTCGGCCTGGCACTGGCACAGCTCTGCCACTTCGGCTCAAGTCTAAGGAGTTTAGGAGGGACCCCTATTAGGGACCCTTAATCCCATTACCTTACATATAACCATTGTATAGTCCTTATATACCCCTTACTATTAAGGGTCCCTCCTAAAGCCCTTAGATCAAGAGGCCTGGATCCTTGGCCCTGGACTGGGCCCCGGCCTATGCAGATGCGCTCCCCGGTCTCGGAGCAGTAGACCGGGGAAAAGATCTCCGAGAAAATGCCCGGCCAAGGCTTCACCTACCAGGAGGGAAAATGCCATCAACCTGAGGACCTGGTACTAATTAATATGATGAGTTGAAGAAAAGAAGGGGTTAAGCTGAGGAGTTACTCAGCCGTTGCTCTTAGGACGCCAGGCTTGAGGACCTTGGGCTTCTGAGTTGGGTCTTCTGGTGACCAGGTCTTGCAAGGCCCTTGTGATATGCTGAATACGTCGGAGTTTTCCGTGTGCCGGATCTAGGAGATTCGTACCAACGAGGCAGGTACTGCAGCTTGTCGGCATCGATGTTCTCCCTGCCTGGCCACCAATCAAGGTCTTGGCACCATCCACGTAGGGGCGAGTCTTGAACACCTGATGGCGAAGCCCTACACGTGGAACGGAAGCTGCTATCACTTACCTTATCATTTGTCACATGCTAACACGAGAAACCGGATGCCTGTTACAAGAGAACCGGAACTCTCCACTGCAAACTCACCAGTGCATGCTGTGAGAAGGGCAGGGAGTCTGACCTTGGGACGAGCACCCTCTCGTCCAATCGAACATTTCTACCTAGGGTGTCTTGATGTCGAACCGGTGCGATCCAGGACGCTTCGTTTCGATATCTACCATTTCAGCTTGGAAGACCACACACCAAGAGCGAGCAAATCTTCCAACCGATCAGAATTGGACTGACGCATCCAATCTAATCATGAAGCCCCCAACCCTAAAACCAGTATTGATTGGCATTCCCGCCAACCTACACACCTGTCCGTCGAAGATGAAGCCAATGCCGACGCGTCACCTCGCCGTGCTCCGACACCTCCGGCTTTCCGATGGCGGCCATGACGCCAAGGCCCTGCTTAGGTCCCGCGACTTGGAGCTGATGTGGCTGCAGAGCGGTTTTTGCGTCTGGCACTGTACTGCTTACAACATTGATGTGAACATCCCTCAGCAAAAAGGAACGGTCCGCAAGCACTGCTGAACTTTGGTGCACCCCTTTTCGGTCAGGCGGTCTTTGTGGAGTCCTACTCTAAGGGTTCCCTGGCAATGGCAAGCGAGAACCTCACTTTCGCGGCTCGTCGGCCAAACAACGATCTTCCTGGGAACCTAATTTAAGTTACCATAATAGGGATCTATAGTAAACCAAACATGGGTTCTTTATTATGCTAGCTGAAACTAAACCGCTTAACCCCTGGCTGCTAACCAGCGGAGCTCTGCCTGTGCTGAGCCCAGCTCGATCGGAACGGAATCAGCCGCTCAGCTCCACGGTCTTCCCTCCCATCCTAGGATTCTTCCGCCGCTTTCTCAGATTCGGAGATTCGGGGATGAGGAGGCGATCAACTTCAGCGGAGATGTTGGCGAGCTTTGCTAGCGCTTGTTGATTGACATGGCTGCATGTGTCTTATATTTGGGGCAGCACAAAAAGCAGTTCAGCGAGACAACATCAAGTGGTAGCCAGTCTAGTCGGAAAGCTGGGAGGCCGGCTGTGAGAAGGCCTCCATGCGGGCCTTTTGATCCTCGTGTTCCCGGCTGATCCTGCTCTCGGAGATGAGTCCGGCTTTGGAGGAACTGCCGGTCTGGGGCAAACTGAAAGCTTTACCAGAGCTTTTGGCCAAGTACTTACAAGCAGAACAAGCATTGATATTGTGAAGACTAGAAACTATCGGAACCCACTTCCCACATACATCCATTGCAAGTCTCACCGACCTTTCGGCATCACCACCCTGCTGCCGCCGCATGATGAGGTCAGCCACCTTAGGACTGTGGCATAAGGACTCCCGCCAAGCCACCTGCCCCTTGGTCACACAGGAAACTTCCCAACCTAGGCTAACTTCGCTTTCGTCACTGTTCTCAAAGCTCCACCGTCCGCAAGCCTCCTTCCGGCTGATTGGCCGCTCAGATCCAGTGCTCCTGGCATCAAGCAGCTCAGGATCGGTCTGGACCGTGACTCTGGCAGCTGCGCAAACTTCCTTGAATCCGGAATTTTAGGAGCTGGTCATGCAGGACTTCCGACGCCTAAGAATCCTGGCAGACCAAACCCGTCCCCCAACGCATCCCATGTGCCTGTCAAAGCAAGAAATGACGAAGCTCCCCAACGACTGGTAGCCTCCGGCAGGCACGACATGTCGCCACCGCGCACATCCGAAATGTCGGTGGTTGCACATGGAGCTCGTCCAAAAAACGTAAACAGCATCCCAGAAGCAGGTCAGGCCTAGCAGGGCTCTCGCCGCTCGATTGGGCTCCTTTTGCGTCGTCAAGAAATTGTCATCGTAGTAGAGGCGCCTTTGCGATTCCATTCTTAGGGAGCTTTGACTGCGCTTGCTCCGGGACTTTGAGAACTGGATCTCGAGCTTCGAGGACCGAATTCGAACCACAAGAGTTTTGAAAGCCAGGTGAGAGACTCAGACAGCCCGGCAGTCCTAGAAGTCGGAACCCTGAAATCCTCCAAGCCTTCAACCTTCCGAAGCTAAAAGCGCTCGGGAATCCAAGTCCAAGGGTTTGGCCACAAGTGGTCGCTGGAGCCTCCAGCGCCGTAGCCTGCACGCCCAAGACTCTAAAGGGATGCCTACAGTAGGCGGTTTAAGCTACGACAGGAGACTTGGGATGTCGGGTCATGTGGGGTCATGTGCTTGGAAAGTGCTCCGAGAGCTACAAAGATCAGAAGCTTCGGCTTCGAAGCCGAAAGGCCTGGGATGAACTGCGAAGTCACCTTAGACTCGAGATGCGACCGGATGCAGCGAGCCGAAAGATCGCTTCTACCTTACAGTCGCGCAATGCCCCTCATTCCTCACTTACAACTTCAGAGGGAAGGCAAATGCTGGTGAATGCGTCGGGCCGAAAACTGTGGGTTGCGAAAGATTGCGTAGGGGCTTCGGCGGGACTGCTGACTCGTCCCTAAACTGACTAAGATCTTCTGAAGCAAGGGCTCAGCGCGATCACATCACCAAGTCGCAGATTGACAGGGCGACCAATATTGGCTCGGGAGTTCGGGGGGCCGGAGTCTGGGCAACCGTTCCCTGCACCTGCACATGCGAACATCCTCACTAGCGCTACAAGCTGCTGCCGTGTCACAGATGACCACTTGTACTTCTTCAGTGCTCGTTCGACCTCAAGCTGTTCACATCTGCCAGATCGCAACAGAAGAGTAGATGTGATCGGTGCCTCTACTCAAGAGCCCTGGGCAGGGCCTCAGGGCCTCAAGACTGAAACCTCTGAGGCACAAGCTCCGGGCTCCACTTCCCCTTCCGCTGGAAGCCCGGCCTCGGTGAGCGAGGACAACCTTTTACCAGCCTTTGTTGCACGCCTGAATCTCATACAGTACCCATAGTCTCCATTGTAGTTCCTTTTGGCGGATACCTTATAAACTCCTTAATATAGAATTGGTTAAACCAAAAAAAGGAACTACAATGGAGACTACAGGTAGTCTGGTGATCGCTTTCTCATTGACCGGAGGTCGCAGCAATGCACTTCGCCTTGAGCTGCCCACGGCTGTCGACGATGGTGCCTGCATCAAGGCGCAGATAAACTCCACCGCACCCAACACTACCTTTCGTAACACCGCGACCGATATCTTCATGATGCCTCAGTGTCGTGGCTACGAAGGCTCTGCTGCATTTACCTGAGCACCTACCACAGAAACTCACAAAACAATCTATATGGAACAAACTACCCCACCAAGATATCCCAAGTACTAGAGCATGTGACTAGCGACCCCCAGGTGCCTCGAAGTCGGGGTCTTCCTCCAGAAGCTTGCAGAGTTGCTCCTCCCAGCACCACAGTCACTTCAGATTCGTGCCGGGACCCGCCTTCCGTACCTGTCTGTTCGCAGAAACTCTATGAAGAGTCAGGGGTTGGGATCGAAGCCTGAGAAGGGCGTTGGATGCACTCTCCGTCGTTCGGAAGAAAAGTATCAGCTGCACCTGACCCCAACACAGAAACGCATCGGGCTCAGAAATTTGGCACAGTCTTGCGCTGTGGAATCATGACTTGACTTTCAAACGACAGGTTGAGCATATCTTACCTCTTGTTTCCCTGCATTATGCTGCGGTACGTCTCTTGACGCTGCACTACACATTGAGCTAAACCTTGCTTATCCTTTCCTAGCATTTTATTTCTACTGCGCGTCTCCGGACACTTAACCACAGACTACACACCCTGCGGCAGAAGATTGGGTCATGTTACATTGCTGGCATCGCCAGGCTTACCACCTATAGAGCACATGCAACTGCCATTTTATTCCCAGTGAACATTGCCAGCATCACGAGTGGACACTGACCCGAATGTCGCGGCAGGAGAACTTAAACAACACATTTGGAAGCGCCACACCCTCAAAGCTCGGAGCGAACTCCGAGCAAAACGTCAACGACTGCAGGTTCTCTGGAACCTGAACACTTTCCAAGCTCTGGTAGAAGTCAAAGCCACATGTCAAAGCTTGCAGGCCGCCTGGCAACCCACCACTCTTCCAGCTCCGATTGAACTTATAGCCCAATTGCAAGCTCAACAAACTGGTCGGCAGGCAGACACCTTCCAAGCATTGGTTGAAGCTATGACCGAATGACAAAGTCTGCAGATTGCTCGGCAGCTGAACGCCTTCCAAGCTCTGGTTGAAATCATCCCCAAACGTCAACTCCTTCAGGTTGCTCGGAAGAACCACACCTTCCAAACACCGGTTGAAATCACGGCCAAAAGTCAGTGTCTTCAGGCCGGGCGGGAGTTGGACAGCTTTCAAACTCTGGTTGAAACTGTCGCCAAACACCAACGTCTGCAGCTTGGCGGGCAATCGGATGCCCAGCAGGCTCTGATTAAAGCTGCCGCCCAACTCCAGTGTCTGCAGGCCGCTCGGCAAGCAGATGCCTTGCAAGCTCTCGCAGTAGCTCATGCCCAGGCTCAACGTCTGCAATCTGCTTGGAAGTTTCACACCTTCCAAGCTCCTCTTGAAATTAGGGCCGAAGGTTAGTGTCTGCAGGCTTCTCGGCAGCTGGATGCCTTCCAAGCTCTGGTTGAAATTATTGATTGCGTGCCCTAGCTAGCATACCACAGTGACCCTTCTTTGCAAACGAGCGCTGCGGAAGCGTCACTATGTCTGTCAAAGGGCCTCAAGCACTTCGTGCGAGCTTCATCCGAAAGATGTCACAAGTGGAATGAAAATGCCACGAGTGATGTTCAAAGAGTCTCCACTTTGACACTCCCTCAGGGAGGGTGGGCGGGAGAGCAAGAGACTTGAGAGGATAAGCAACAGAAAAGCGGGCACTGCATCAAAAACGCACTCAAGTGCAATCATGATTGCGTGCCCTAGCTAGCA